TAACTTCAAAATTACCTGGAAGGCTATTCTTACTTTGTAGATTTTTGTTAGCTACAAGAACCCATACAAGAGGGGGTACATCAGTAGTGTTTAACTGATCAAAATAAAGCAGAAAAGTAAAAGTTCAACTGCAGAAAGAAGATCCTGGGAAAGGGGATAAATAGCACTTAGAAGTCAATAAAGAATCCCCATGGTCAATCTTAAAGCACAGGACCCTGGATCCAATTGGCAGCACAGAAAAACTACAGGAGAAAATAAAGGGTCCATTGGAGAAATGGCTACACTGTGCTCCACAGGCCTGGCTGGGAGCAGTGTGACTTCTTCCTCTTATGTAGAAACGATTGCGTAAATCAGCTTTTCATTGCTGTAATAAAATATCTGACATGAGCAATTTAAAGGAGGAGAGATTTATTTTAGCTCACGGTTTCAGTCCACAGTTTCAGTCCATGGATTTCTCTTTCACTACAAGCAGAGCTGAACATGGTGGCATACAGCACATGGAGGGGAAAAGCTGCTTACCTCAAGAGGCTAAGAGACAGAATCAGAGGAAAAGAGGCCTAGGACCAGGCATAGCTCCATAACTTACTCAGGTCCCTGAAGCCCCACCTCCTAAAGTTCTATCCACTCCCAATGATGCTCTTAAAATATGAAGGTAGAGTGCTTATTATCCAATTATTCCCCAAAGACCAAGCAACCAAGTTTTCAACACAATGATTATCTTGGGGGAATATTTTGAGTCTCAACTATAACAAGCAGTATGTGGAGTATGAGACTGATTCTGTGAGCAAACAGATAGGTGGGTGGTGACAGCTGGCAGAGTAGAAAATTAGGTGTGTGTATAGGGGGAGGGTGTGACTAGCATTATATTAGCACATTTAAAAGGCCCAGGTGATGGAAAAAAACAGTTGTGGTATCTCTTACCTAGGTAATTCAAAGTCAAAAATGAAAAGAACTATAACAAAGTACTTATTTCCCCTATCGTGAAATACTGTAGGGTATTTTAATACAGCTTTAGATATTTTTGAAACAATTTTTGGTATTCATGATTTCATTTCTAACTGTAGGCTGAATAACAAGTCAGAGAAAATTTTCATCATTTATACTTGGATGGAAAATGAATAAAGGATCTCCTGAATATTTGCTAGGAAATAGTTCATAAAACCCCAAACCATCTTCAGAATGTATCTAAGTGATACTCCTGAGGAATCCCTAAGTTGTTGTGCTACACTGTTTTGGCAAGATAGCAGTGGAGGATGGCGACTCCAAAACCCAAGGCCAGAGGAAAGAATAGCAATCGACACATGAGAAAACCATTAAGAAATACTATAGCAATTGGAGTGTACATCATCACCTGCTCAGGTGCAATATTTATCTGCAAAGCCACAGCCTGCAGTGACCACATTATTTCCTTACCTGGAGCTGTAGTCTCCTGTTGCCTTGTACTGGTGACGTAGCCTTTGATAATTCTTGCAATAAAAATCCAGTCATGTATGACATTTAGAAGGGAGCAAAGGGTTTGATTTGCCCCAGGCCCTGCAACCATTATAAAGAGCCTATAAAAAGAAAATTAGGGGTCCAGAAATTGAGCCAAATCAAAAAGAGTATCAGATCACCAGGCACTAGGCTGCTTCTCTTTAATGATTCCAGATAAAGAGAAGAGACCACATAGCGTTTTCCCCCAAGAATTCAAATTAACCTACTCATTCACCCTAGGAAAGAGAAGGAATAAGGAGGGCCAGAATGTAACTTTAACATCCTTTTGCTTAATACACAATGAACTTTGGGCATCACTGGCACATAGTCATTTAAAGACCAAAGCCATTGTAACCTTTGTCACAGATATACTTGCATTTTCAAGAAAATCTTGCTACTAAGCAGCCTACAATAGCAAAACAGGCCACACCCTTCCCATAAAATCTATTGCAGTGTCATAGAGTTCACTCACACTTATTTCACTCTTCCATGTGTCTCCTTTATTACAGGTTGCTCTATTTTCCTACGCCTGGAGTCTTTGGTTACAGTCCTTTCTCTGTGTCATTTAGAGAACAGCCTCGTTTGTCTCCAAGGCCCTTTCATTGAGTCTGAGCCAAATACCTGCCACTCACATTCCCGGAAGTTGGTTTTTGGTTGAGGTCACGCTCAAACGGAGAGATAGGTGGTGATCTTCTATGTCTTCCCACGTGCCACTAGTCAATGAAATCACAAGGAGCCTGTGTGGACAGTGGCTCCCAGGAAAATCTGACTCAGAAAAATAAAAAAATGATCTTAGGAAGGAAGAATTCCTGCAAATTTGCAAGACAAGAAGCAGCTTGGAGTTTCTTCATTGAGAGCTGTGGTCCATAACCACTAGACAGATGTGGAAGAGCTCGTCTCATTCAGCCAGCATCAGTGGCACTTGTAAATTTGTTAGAAATGCAGACCCCGGAACCATCAAGGTCTAGTGAATAAGATATTGAGACCCCCAGCTGACTCATCCCTACATTCACGTTTGAGGAGTACTGGCCTAGAGCAGTATTTCCCAACCTTCACTGCACATAGGAATAGAGCAAGGAACATTAAAAAAAAATCAAATTACTGATGCATGAGGTCTAGTTCCAGAGACTCTGAGTTAATCAGTCTGGGGTGTGGCCTAAACACAGAGATTTTTTAAAGCTCCCAGATCTGAGGTACAGACACCGGCAAGGTGGCAGAGGAGGGCATCTTCTCTGTCTTTGGCCACCTCACCCCGTTTTGTTGCAGTCAGACTGGAATTCCTGGAGTCAGAATCTCTTTTCTGACTGCCGGAACCGAAGTGTAAGTACCAGCAAAGAACTCCACTGAAAACTTAAACTCTCTGCCTTCTGCGTGGCTATTCCCTCTGCTTACCCACTCCATCCACCAAGCAGCTCCCAACTGACTGCTCACACCTTAGCAAGCACCAAAGGCCACCAGTATCAACTGGTGCTCCAGAAATGCAAACCCGGGACCCCATTTGCGAGCTACCGAATTGGGGTCTGCGTCACATTCTGCAGGGTGGGTCCCCAGGCAGGTCTGAGGAGCAGCCAGGTTTGAGAGCTATGAGCTCCACGGTGGGTCCAGCCTTTCATCCTGCCAAGTCATTAAGGGTTTGTAAGGATGAATGAGTTGTCAAGAGAGCAAGGGCCTGCCGCAGCGCTGCTTTATTAATTATGGGGGAGTGATGTATTGGCAGTGATAAAGCTTCTCTTGGAAAGGGCAATGAATGGTTCGTCGATTGCTGCATTAGGTCTTCCCTGACTCTCTCAATGCTCAGCTTTTACTCCTCTCCAGTTTAAAAGCGGCACGGCTTTCACACTAAGCAGCCTCTTGGTCTTTATTCCCAGGTGAGCTGCAATCTTTGAGGGAAATATCAACAAGACTTCTTGGCTGTGGAAATCCCCTGCTCTCATAGCCCTCTGTGCGTTCAGCGTCTAGTAGAGAGCGTAGACGCCTGCATATCTGATATGTAGGAAAAACAGAGTAAGGATTATTTTTTAATCATTGATTCATCCCCAGATAGCTTTACTAAAAGAAAGCTTCCTTTAGCACAGGGGTAGTATGTGGAGGAAGGAAGATATATCTGGAGTAACAAATTCAGAGGTGAGAAACGGGTAGGCGAGTGGGAGTCGGGGTTCTATCTGTGGATGAGGCGAGAAAGGTTCAAAAGAAAAGTTGCAGCGCCAGTCTGTGCGTGGAACCGATGGGCAAGGCGTCCGGAAGCGCGGCGCTAGCGCGCGTGGCCACAACGCACTGCGGGGCCCAGAGCCCCGAAGGAAATCGAAAAATATTCTCAGCGTTGGAGACCCGGAGGCTCCGGGGGCTCCCTACGCGGCCGGGGCTGGGGACGCTCCGGTTCCCTGCACGGTCGCCCAGGGCGCCCGAGGG